GCACTAATCAAACGTAAGTTACGTATCCGTGCGTGAAAAAATTATGAACAAGAATCGTCATGACAAGTTATTAAGAAGAGAACTTAAAAAGCGGATTACTGTATAATCAATCATTCGGTCAAATAGCCTGTTTTGTTTAGAAAACCAAACAAAATAATTATGTTTTGGAAAGTTGAATTATTATGGTTTCAATAAATGAATGAATATGATACTTGAACCGACAAGAAAAAAATGCATCACCTTATATCAAACAATACAAGATACCTTGTGTGGTATAATAATTAATAAATGTGACAAAATTGGGTATATGTATGCATACAATCAATAGTACCAGTCGTTTTCGAGTTATTTATATCTCATCAACTTAGCTGTTGGGGTCGATTTTTAGAAGTTTCACATTGAGCTATCATCAAGTCATCATCATTATGTGTTATATATCCTATTATAAGGATATGGTTTTAATTTCATTCATCTAATTAGTGATTTTACATCTCATATACATGATACTTAGATAATCTCATAGGATACTCTTTCCCGGATCTAGCAACATTTTGTTTTATAGTAAAAGAGTAATGAAGACAAGAATCAGTAGTTGATAAGGTATATGAATCTCTTTAATGTTAGGCTAATACGGTTTCTAGATAAAATAAAACCAGCCATCCGTTTTGACCTTCTCAAAACACTTTAAATTATTTATTATACTAGCAAGCACCTAGGTCAAGTGTAGAATATAATAAGTACATAAATATATATTTAGTTGAGTTTAATAAATGTTCTGCAGTGTTTATAATATGAGATATTTTGTTTTTATATTTTTTCAGTAAAAACTATTAAAGATATTTTGTGAACAAATCCGTGGTCTGTATCTCGATCCGACCATCACGTCATTTGTGGTCTATGTCGTGACAAGTAGTTAAGTTTCTCAGTCTTTTCCTATTTAAAACTATTATATTGCGTTGAGTGATCGTTTTTTCCAGGTTTATTACCACAACACGAGTCTCGGCACAATTAGCGGGGTTTATTAAGAATCTGTGTTTTTCACATCTGATATTTTTGTTAAGACCAAGATTAGTATATTTTGACAAAAAGAAGAAAGAACACTTCAACCGAATAATTCTAATTGCGTATTAAACAACTAGATTAAAACAGTCACATCAAAATTTTCGTTAACATATAAAACATAAACTAATAGAGTCATCAAATTCAAAATCAAAGTCTCCCCAAGTGGTCTATAAAATCTCAAGAGTAAAAAGTAAATCGTGCCTTAATTTGATGGACCGAGAGTTCTTTGCAAAGGTAATGATTGGCAAAACACACCAAAATAGTGGTCATATGTCGTCGGGGAACAAAAAGGAATCATGACTTTTGCAGTTCCAACCAAAAATTACATTTTCCAAAATCAAAATAAGCATAGGAGAGTTTTGATGAATAAGCAGGTTTCTGATAGGATATCACATTAAGTAAGTACATTGCATTCCCAAACTAACTACAGTAACTGGTGTTGGTCTCGTTCTCGTATCATGTGGGTCAAGCCGACACAAGAGAATGGAAAGTTCCGCTTTGTATATAGTTGGATCGGGTCTCCAAAGCGTTTACTACTCTTTCTTTATATGTTTCGTCAACGTTTACTCTTTCAAAGTCTTTGTTGCTTATCATTATATTATTTAGATTATATGTCCAATAGTAAAACTATTATTTATACAAGATATTACACTATAAACCTCATTTGAAGTCATGAGTTACTGATTTATATTAATTTTTAAAATCAATTGAAAATGCTTGTTGTTCAAACAATTTAGTATACGTACATTGATATTGTAGCTATTAAGCTACCGTATATTTATTTTCATAAAACACAACTCTTAGAAGAATATTAATCGATAGTGTGTATGATCAGTAGTGTATTCGGTTAATTACAAATTACAAATATTCGTCGATTTGATGGAGCCTTGTATATTTGACTATTCACTTTTGACAAAAAAATTTTTTTTTGACTATTCCATGAGTAGAAAAATTCGGTACATAACTAAATTATATTCAAACCACTTAAACTAACGATTAAAAATAAATAATTTAAATAGACAATTAAATTACACTTAAGTCATAACATTTGTTTTTTTTATGATATAAACTGAACTCATTACATGTAATTACTACATTCCTTAAATTTCATGGTAAAATACTCATTTTCTATTTGATGGACAGTAGTGAGTACGAGGACTTGCATGGAGAATTGTAGGATGATTAAGACATTGTATATTTGAATCTTCAATGACGACTATGTTAAGTATATTAGCGGACAATTAGATCTGAACCACTAAGACGCCTCAAAACATTTGAGTTAGAGCCACTTGATGTTAAGATTGCGAGACAAAAGAACATTAATGAAGTCTTGAGTTACGATGTCGATTCGATGATGACGAGTGGAAGACACGTTGATGGGTCGGTCTCCAATATCTCTTCTTTTGAAACATGTTGCACTTTCTTGGATAAGGGGTTTTATAAACAAACAGTCTTGAAATGTCATGTCAGTAGATTTAAGGGTTGGAAATATTAGCCGATCATTTTACAATGTTTTGCATATTCTTTTGTTTCCTTCCAAATTCCTATTTTTTATTAAAAATTTGAATACACAAAGATAATTTAATTTCATAAAAGCTACATATAGGCCTTGGCCTTTTATAATAATGGGCCTTTTACATTCAGATTCTTTCACTAGAAAAATTAGTTTTTTTTCTCTGTTCTTTCTCAACTTAGAAGAAAAAAACTTATGTCTGTGATATATTTATCCACACTCTGACACTCTGTATCACTAGTGATACTACCCGCCAACGGAAAACCACCATGTCAGCCTCCGCCGCCTCCGTCACCATCGTGACAGGATTTCTCCGTTCCCCGTCAACTCAAAAGTCTCAAAACCCTTCCTTTCTCTTTTCTCGACCCAAGAGATCTTTGGTTAGACCCATATCCGCTTCTAGCTCAGAATTGCCGGATAATGTTCGTAACTTCTGGAAATGGCTGGGAGACCAAGGAGTCGTCTCCGGAAAATCTCCGGCAGAGCCTGCGGTGGTACCGGAAGGTCTGGGACTTGTAGCCAGGCGTGATATCGGGAGAAACGAGGTCGTACTGGAAATTCCCAAGCGATTGTGGATAAATCCAGAGACAGTGACGGCTTCCAAGATCGGACCTTTGTGCGGCGGATTGAAGCCGTGGGTTTCAGTTGCTCTGTTTTTGATCAGAGAGAAGTATGCACAAGACTCTTCATGGAGAGTTTATCTTGATATGCTTCCTCAATCTACTGATTCTACTGTCTTCTGGTGGGTTTTCTCCTTCTCTGATCAATAGCAACTGTAGAGCTTCTCTTTGTTCAAAGTTTAGTTTCTCTGGTCAACACTCAGCATTGTAGCTAATGATATGTTTTCTTCATGAAATGCTCCAGTACAGGTCAGAAGAGGAGCTTGCGGAGCTCAAAGGTCAATCCTTTTACCTTTTCATTTCTTCTTTCCATAAACAGATGACTAGTAGAGGCTGATGATGAATCAAGGGACAATTGAGCAAAACATTATTAACTTTGTGGTTTCTGTTGTGTGGCTCAGGGACTCAACTGTTGAGCACCACATTGGGTGTCAAAGAGTACGTGGAGAATGAATTCTTGAAACTGCAAGAGGAGATATTACTGCCCAACAAAGATCTCTTCTCATCCAGCATAACACTTGATGACTTCATCTGGGCGTTTGGGATTCTCAAGTCGAGGGCTTTTTCTCGCCTTCGTGGCCAGAACCTTGTCTTGATCCCACTTGCTGATTTGGTATGCTCCTGTAAATAACTATCCAAAGAAGCAACAGCTATCTTCTTATTTCAGATAATGTCTTAGTTGCAAATCTTCATCCATTGATGCTTGTCTCAGCAGAGAATCTCTGACTACAATGTTTCATTTTGGACAGATAAACCATAACCCTGCGATAACGACAGAAGATTATGCATACGAGATCAAAGGAGCCGGCCTTTTCTCTAGAGATCTCTTATTTTCCTTGAAGTCACCTGTTTATGTTAAAGCAGGTCAGCAGGTAAGCTTCAATCACTGTTAGTCTGTTACCTTAGTTTAACCCCTCAAAAGTATAAGAACAATCCCTTTAATGCTGTGTGGATGATCTGTTCCACAGGTATACATTCAGTATGATCTGAACAAAAGCAATGCAGAACTTGCTCTGGACTATGGTTTTGTGGAATCAAACCCTAACCGGAACTCATATACTTTAACAATAGAGATACCCGAGTCAGACCCATTCTTTGGGGATAAGTTGGATATCGCTGAAACTAACGGGATGGGCGAGACTGGCTACTTTGACATAGTAGACGGCCAGACTCTTCCAGCTGGCATGCTTCAGTACCTTCGCCTTGTGGCTCTTGGTGGTTCAGATGCTTTCTTATTAGAATCTATCTTCAATAACACCATATGGGGCCATCTTGAATTGCCTGTAAGCCGTTCAAACGAGGAACTAATATGCCGTGTTGTCAGAGATGCCTGCAAGTCTGCTCTGTCTGGTTTTAGTACCACCATTGAAGAGGTACACTTATATGTCCAAGCTCTTTCTTGTACTGTATTTGCAGCGACTTTACAGTCATATTTCTTACTCGTCTTCATTGTCTTTCGTAGGATGAGAAGCTTCTGGAAGAAGGAAAGCTTGATCATAGGTTGGACATTGCTCTTAAGATAAGGATTGGTGAGAAGAAGGTGCTTCAGCAAATCGACCAAGTCTTCAAGGATAGAGAGCTTGAGCTCGATGTTTTAGAGTATTACCAAGAGAGAAGGCTCAAAGATCTTGGTTTAGTTGGCGAGCAAGGGGATATTATCTTCTGGGAGTGAGAATTAGCTTTAGCTCGGATAGCTTATCCTGCAGAACAAACTCAGGACCAGAAAGAAAATCTTACTGGTTTGGTCTCAGACCGCATAGAGTTGAATCAACCTTGAGATAAAAGAGTTAAGAGACCACAATCTGTATATTAAGCTATTGCCAAAAGCAACTTTTTTGATATTCTATAAGATGAGACAAAATCTTCTTTTAGTTACATCTTAACTTACGTAAAACAATTAAATCAAGATCAGCAACTATGCAGGAAAGCTGAAAACGTTACAAACAAAAATGGAGAAAAACTCGGGGCAGGAACTATGCAGCTCCCATTCCAGTGTTTGGCATGCCGTCCTCTTGCAGAAGCAATGAGATAATATGCTAAAAACATGACTTTAAAGTGTTAAATTGGAATTTCTGTGCCCAAACAGGTCGTGGCAATTTGTACCTTCACAAAGACACTCTTGAGGGTTTGCGTAGAAGTAATCTTCCTCCTTAGGTTTGTCAGAGATTACTCTTCGGTGTGTAGGTGCTCCCGTTCGTTTCTCATGGGCTACCTTGACGGCTACTGCAAATTGATCCCACGTGAGGGTCTTGTTTTGATGCAAGTCTAGTAGCTCCACGAGTTTCTTACGGTCAAGCAGGACTGTTTTCTTATATCCAAGGTATCTGCAAATTCAAATCGACCAATTGTGTTTTACATTGAATCACAGGAATAATTTTCCAGTAAGTTGTCAGTTTTCATGGAGAGGAATGCATTCAATATCAAAAAAAGTTACCTCCGATGACCTTCCACCACTTTTGCCATGTTTCCATCATAGGTAGGAATAAAAGTGTTGCTGGCTACAGATACCATAAAATCTAAAGCAGCCATTTGAGATGAATGGTTCTGAAACTGTTGGAGCTCCGCTGACTCCAGTAGCATTTCCTTCTTTACCTATAACATGTATTCAAAACTGATATAATGAAGATCCCTTTATCACTCGTTGTAGCAAGAAAAGGGAGACCAGGACTGGTAGACTCACAATTCTCGGGAATGCTTCCCTTAGAACGGATAGTCTACGCTCGCTCCCATAAATCTCACCAGCTGCAATGTATATCTGTGTATTTTTCTCGAATCCTAGTGCTTTTAGAACCAATGCTACCTCCTCTGGAGTCAGAGGACAAAGCCCTTGAGCTCTCCTCTCCTCAGAAACTATCTCCTTCTCTCTCCACCAGGGATATGTGTACCTAAAGAACACAAAATGGATCCATGCATTAACATCAAATTATCATCTTTTTTTTTCTTTAAAATTGGAATAACAATTCAGGACAGATTTGCTAAAGAACAACCTCATCTTTTTTAATTCTTCTGCTTCTTCCTCAGTGCAACCATGAGTGCAACCAGAGAAGGCTAACATGTCCATCTCATATCTCAGATGCAAAGCCACGAATGGCCCTCTTTGTTGTAGAATTCGAACTAACTTAGATCCCAAAGCCTCAAGCTGTGGAGTGAACTTTAGTCCCTGGAAGTTCACCCGGCACCTAAGCCACTGTAGTGGGAGCGGAAGACCATTGTTTGCCAGGCGGGTATCGGTCCTATTGAAGTGTAAGACTTTATGTTTGCTGAAAAGGGGCAATACCTGAACAAGGAATTTAACCAATCACAAAGGCAGATCGTCAAATAAAGAAAGAACTCAGCAGCTAGGACAACACTCGCAACAAGAACTTGTAATAGTTATAGTGAGAGGAACCAAAACAGCAAACTATACATGAACAGCACTAACCTGCTTCAAGTAGTATTTCTCATCGGACCAGCTTACAGGAGGCATTTCGAACATTTGATAACCATACTTCTTTCTATACCGTTTTGGAAGCCTCCTTAAGATACGAACTTCATCTCTTAATGAATCAATGAAATGTCTCACATCAAAAATATCCTCAAAACCACTGCAAACGAAAAATTACTATGCTTTAGATTCCTACAGAGCTACCAAAAAACAGAAGAAGAGGATAGGCCTATCAGAAGTGAAAGATCCTCTGAAGATTCAATACCTAGGATCAGACCAGAAAGATGTTTTGTCAAGCTCTGGAACAACGAGAGTGAGGTTTAATAGCCGAGCAACAGTCACCATATCACATATCTGAAAACAACATAAATCAGAATTTGGAAACATTCAAATCTGAATAAAAGGTCGAAAAAGGAGCAATTAAAGCAAAGTGACCACCTACCGCGGATCGCATTTGATTCAATCCACCATTACAGGATACAAGTAGAATACCATTGCTTGTATAATTTCCTACAAAAAAATAAATCGATTAATCTCGTTACACACCAACGAAGACGAGATAGAACCGTAACGCCCCAAAAAGAAAAAGAGAGAAAACTAACTCGGAGGAGGTAGAGGAGGTGGCAACGGAACTGGCTCGAGAGGGGCAGAGAATCTGAAAATCTGATTGGTTAAACCAGTGAAGATCCGGGAATGCCAAAGCTCACCGGCGGCGAAAAGCTGAACCAAACAGGTCCAAACCAAAATGCTGGAGCAAACTCTAACGAACCATACTTGTACACGAGGCTTGAGAACTGCCGACGGATGCGGAAGCTTAATATCGCTTCGCGCCTGAGTAGAAGTAACACTCTCCGATCTAACTTCCATCTCCCTCCTCCGACGATCGTCGTCGCCGCTTCATGAGATAAAAATAAAAATTCTAAAACCTAAAAAATTTTCTCCGATCTTGTGAAGATGTTAACAAAATTTTCCGGGATTGTCAAAATGCAGAAATTAAAAATTAGATGAGAAACGCGAAATGAAATGAAATGCTTCTTCTTCTCTCCTCCTTGTGTTGTCAAAGGTTTGAATCTCGAGGAAGAGTTTTTTTTTTTTTTTTTTTTTCCGAGTAAATTCGAAATTAAGAAGAAAAACAAAATCACGAGACGGGAAAAAAGAAAGAGGTGGTAAGTGGTAACGGTGAAGAGATGGGGAAATAAGTTAATAACCGTCAAGTGTCTTCTTCTTCTTCTATTTATTATTTTCCCGAGAAAATTTCATTCTATTTGCATTATTAAAAAAATTAAAACAAAAATCTTAATCCCTTAACTTAACTAAATGCCAATTTTTTTGGTTATATAAAATAATATATGAGTTTGGAAAAAAGAATGATTGATTAGAAAAACATGGTATAATCAACCACCTCTTCCTCCATGAGGACAACTGCTTGGAACTGTAGAGGAGTAGGCAATGACCTCGCAGTTCGACGTTTGAAGGAGATTAAGAAGAAATTCTCTCCGGACATTATTTGCCTTATGGAAACAAAGCAGCAGGATGATGTAGTTAGGGATGTTTGTGGTGATCTTGGTTTTTCTAATGTTGTAACTGTCCCTCCTGCTGGTCTAAGTGGTGGTATAGCTCTCATGTGGAGTAGTTGTGTTTCTGTTTCAGTCATCTCTCTTTCTCCAAACCTTGTAGATACGTATGTTGAAATTAATGGATTTGGTTTCTACTTGTCTTGTGTGTATGGTAACCCAAATCCTATCTTTCGCCATCTGGTTTGGGAAAGACTTGAGAGACTTGCTGCTTCCAGAACTGGTCCTTGGATGGCCATAGGTGATTTTAATGAGATTAAGAGTAATGCTGAAAAGAAAGGAGGTCCCCCTCGTTCTGAGAATTCTTTCCTTGATTTCAGAAATATGCTTCATACCTGTGATTTCCATGACCTCAAGTATACTGGTGATCCGTTTAGTTGGGTTGGAAAGAGACATTCTCATGATGTGGCTTGCTGTTTGGACAGAACATTGGTTAATAATGAGTGGATTGCGCAGTATCCGGCTTCTCATGCTGAATTTTTAGAATTGCTTGAATCTGATCATCGTCCTCTTGTTACTACCATCACTAATGATTTTGTGCCCCATCAAGGTCAGTTCTGTTTTGATAAAAGATTGGTTGATAAAGATGGGTTTAAAGCTGCTGTTCAAAGGGGTTGGAATGGGTCAGGGACTAGACAGATTAATATTTCTTCTCGGCTTATTTCCTGTCGCAAGGAAATTTCTAAATGGAAGCGTTTTCATAGATTTAATGCAAAGGAAGACATTGCTATTCTCAAAAATCGTCTTAACACGGCCTGTTCTAATGGTTCTTCTACGCATGAGATTCAGAGTTTACGTAATAATCTACGTCGTGCTTATGATGAAGAAGAGGAGTTTTGGAGACTTAAAAGCCGGAAAGATTGGATGGCCAAAGGAGATCGGAACACGAAATTTTTCTATACATCTGCTAAGAGTAGAGTTGGTCGTAAAAAGTTGTTTTCCATTCTGGATCATGAGGGTATTGAGCATCGTGGAGACACTCAAATGGGTTACGTTGCTCAGGATTTTTTCACAACTTTGTTTAAATCTGATTTATCTCCTCAGAATAACCACTTTCATGTGTTTAATGAATTTCAGCCGAGGGTTACTTCTGCTATTAATTCTGACCTTACTAGGAAGGTTTCTGAGGATGAGATCAAAAGGGCTGTTTTCTCTATAGGTGCTACTAAGGCTCCTGGTCCTGATGGCTTCACTGGTGCTTTTTATCAAACCTATTGGGATGATATTAAATCTGATCTTATGTTGGCTGTGAGAGGTTTCTTTGAAGAAGGTAGATTTGATACTTCTATGAATCATACAAATATTTGTTTGATCCCCAAGATTGATGGTGCTCGCCAGTTATGTGATTTTCGCCCCATTGCTCTTTGTAATGTAAGCTACAAGATCATCTCTAAGATTCTAGTGGAGCGTTTAAAAACTCACCTTGCTAGTCTTATCTCGGAGGAACAGGCTGCTTTTATTCCTGGTCGTGTCATCACTGATAATGTTCTTATAGCTCATGAGCTTATCCATGCTTTGAAAGTCAAGAAGAGATGTTCTAACTCTTTTATGGCCATAAAAACTGATATTATCAAAGCTTATGATCGTCTTGAATGGGATTTTCTCCAAGAAACTATGTGTAAATTTGGGTTTGATGCCAAATGGGTTGAATGGATCATGACTTGTGTCAGAACTACCTCTTATTCAGTCCATATAAATGGTGCTCCCAAGGGTTTTATTAAACCAGAAAGAGGTATTCGTCAAGGTGACCCGCTGTCTCCCTATCTATTTATTCTTTGTGCTGAGGTCTTAAGTCACATGTTGAAGAGAGCTGAAGCTAATGGTTCGCTAAAAGGAATAAAGATCAGTAATGGGAGTCCTGCTATTAGCCACTTACTTTTTGCAGATGATTCTCTCTTTTTTTGTCAAGCTAATATGAATTCAGTTTCTGTGATTTCTGACATATTGCATCAGTATGAGCAAGCTTCTGGGCAGAGAGTTAACAAGAGTAAGTCTGCTATTACTTTTGGTAAAAGAGTCACGACTTCGACTAGAAATCTGATGCGTCGGTGTCTTCAAATTTTTAACGATGGAGGTTGTAGTAAATACCTTGGTTTACCTGAGCAATTTGGTAGAAAAAAGGTGGAGTTATTCCAGTTTATTGTTGAGAAAGTGAGACAAGCTACTAAAGGCTGGAGTAATAAGTTTCTTTCTCATGGTGGTAAGGAGATTCTGCTTAAGTCTATTGCTCTTGCGATGCATGTTTATACTATGAACTGTTTTAAGCTTCCAAAGAGTATTTGTGAGGACATAGAACGTATTATGGCTGATTATTGGTGGAATTCTCATGATCATCGGAAATCAGTTCATTGGGTGGCTTGGAACCGATTGAAGTATACAAAAATGAGGGAGGTCTTGGTTTTCGGGACATTGAAAAGTTCAACGATGCTTTGCTTGCAAAACAGGTCTGGAGAATTCTTCAATTTCCCGATTGTCTTATGGCTCGTACTTTCCGGGGAAGATACTTTGCTAAATCTAATATTCTCACTGCATCTAGAGGCTTTCAACCTTCTTTTGCTTGGCAATCTATCCTTCATGGTCAACAATTATTAAAGTCTGGTTTGCGTTTTACTGTTGGAGATGGTTATTTGATTCAAACTTGGCTTGATCCGTGGCTGCCTATCCACCCTCCTCGTCCTCCTAGGAGACTTGATAATAATAGTGAGGTCCATCATCCGTTAAATCAGTTTTTTCTCCCAGATAAGTCAGGTTGGAATATTAGATTGTTGAGAGAACTGGTTCACCTTGATGATATTCCTACTATCCTCTCTATCAAAATTAGCCCTTATCAGAGTAATGATTTTATTGGTTGGCATTATTCGGACAATGGGATTTATTCGGTTAAGACTGGGTATTGGCTGGCTTCTCACCTTCCGGATGCTATCTGGAGAGATAGACCTCCTCATGGTGATCCAAATTTAAAAAGGGATATTTGGAAAACTCACACTGCTCCTAAGATTAAGCATTTCTTGTGGCGTTTGTTATCTCGTGCTTTAGCTACGGGGGAAGAACTTGAAAAAAGGCATATAGCTCCTGCAACCCGCTGTAAAAGGTGTGATTCTGATAGTGAAACTACTGTTCATCTTTTCTTTAACTGTCCGCATGCCTTGCAGATTTGGAGAGCCTCTCATCTCCCTATTCCCAGTCTTACAAATCCGCAAGATAATTTGGAAACTAAGTTGAGAGATTTGCTGCAGTTTCATAAGTATAAAGGAATTTATGATTTTCTTGCTCATTTGCCTTTTTGGATTCTCTGGAAAATTTGGAAGAGCCGAAATCGTTTGGTTTTTGAAAGGAAACATACTAATTGGCAACGTGATATCCGTGAAGCTAGACAAGAGGCAGAGGAATGGTTTTCTGTTGAAAGTTCTCTTATTCATACGCCTTCTCTGGTTCTGGTGTTTATTTGACTAATCCTCCCAATCGTGGTTGGTGTAAACCAGTTTTGAACTGGGTAAAGTGTAATTACGATAGTGGTTTCATTGACAATCGTATTCAAGCTTCTATGGGTTGGTTGTTTAAGATGATTCTGGTTCTTTCATTGAAGCTGCTCAAGCTACAGGTCTCCCGGTTCCCTCTATTATTGCAGCTGAGTGTCAAGGTTTGGTTTGTGCAATGAAGCATGCCTGGTTGCGCGGTTTTAATAAAGTAGTTTTTGAAGGAGATAATCAAGTTCTTGTTCGTCTCTTAACTGGTTCTGCTGTTTGCTATGATCTTCTCAATTGGATTCATGAGATCAAAGGTTTGGCTACTCTATTCGAAGCTGTGGAGTTTACTTGGACTCCAAGAAGTAACAATATCCCGGTAGATATTTTAGCTTCTACTCAACGTTTGAACCCATTGTCCTTTTCTTTTTTTCAACTTATTCCCAGATGTATAGCTTCTGGTTTAAACAATGATGTCTCCGTTTCTAATTAATAAAGAGTTGAAGTGTTAAAAAAAAAAAAAAAAAAATAATAGCCGATTTCAAAATGTCGAAGAACAAAGATTTCCAAGAATATTCAACTCTGAAACACATACATTACTATAATAAGAGAAAGAAAGAAAGATGACACATTTTGCCTTTTTGGTATGTCGTTGTCATTCGTCAACGATTTCACCTAATTGTTCTCCGACTACTACTTTATTTATCTTGTCTTCTATTTATTGCACTAATCACGTTTCAATGTTTTGTGTTTTAACTGTTAAAGCTTAATTAATGATGTTGTAGGACATTATCTAAAACAAACAAAAAACTAAAACGATATCCCTGACAAATATAACCTCAACTCAGTATTGCATTTACTTTGCATTATTAACGTTCCTTCCAAGGAAAGTTATTATTTCTTCTTTACACAAGAAAAAAAAAAGACAATTATTTTCCTAATTAAGTTTAAAATTAACATTACAGAGACGAATGATTTAAGTAAAATGAATCTGGAAGAGTTATTTATTTATTTATCTTCTAATTTTGGGGCGGTACTAATTTAGAAGAAAAATCCATTGGGCCTTAAATTTAATAGCCCATTTGAGAGGCATCAGTTTTAAAAGATAAAACCACGTGTTTCAACGAATGAAACGGTTACACGTGGCAATGTCTGTGTTTTGACTTTCTTTGTCTCCTTCCCTTTTCCTTTAACCAGCGGAGCATTTGAAACCCGTCAGATCGATTTCTCTCTCTCTCGACATCGGAGCAGCCATGGATCTTCGTCGGAGCTCGATAGCACTGTTGATCCTTTCTATTTTATCCCCGGTGACGCTATCTATGCGATACGAGATAATTTCTGGTCACACGAAATGCATCTCAGAGGAGATTCACGCCAACGCATTGACCGTCGGGAAATACAGCGTCGTAAACCCTAACGACGATCATCATCCTCTTCCTTCTTCTCATAAAATCACCGTCAGGGTAATAATTAGTAATACATGTTTCAAATCTCTCGATCTTAAAAATTGATCGCAATTCCTTCTATTTGATTTCGGTTTAATGCAATGGTGTTGACTTTTAGGTCACGTCGCCGCAAGGAACGGCTTACCACGAATCAGACAATGTAGAATCGGGTCAGTTCTCGTTTACAGCGGTGGATACAGGGGATTATATATCTTGCTTCTCCGCCGTCGATCACAAGCCGGAGACGACGCTTACCATTGACTTTGATTGGAGGACGGGTATCCATACCAAGGATTGGTCCACTGTGGCCAAGAAGAGCCAAGTTGAAGTAAGTTTTTGCTTCTTCTAAAGTCTTAACTTAGTCAAACTAATCTCACAGAGGAAAATAGATTTTGATGCGACTGTTATATGAAGAGTTGAGCATTGTGTCCGGGTGTGTGAGAAATTGATTGCTAAGTTAGACGAAGACGTAATGCTGGAAACTGAAAAGTTATATGTGATTTGAGAAATGCTCGGTTGTCTAGGTTTCTAGATTATGTTGGATTGGTTTGATTTGAACAAGGCCATGAATTTGAATCTGCAACACTGCCTAGGGTTCAAACCCAACTGATAGGGGTTGTGTGTTTTCAGTCTTACATATGAGGACATTAATTGCTTATTGTTACACAATCAATTTCGGCAGCTCTCATTCAGGAGTTCTTTCCCAAAATGAAGGTTGTTTGGACTAGGCTTTAACATATTACTACAGAGCAATACTATCTTAAGATGAAAGTAGATAGAACTAGGATTTAACACAGGACAGCGCAAGACTAACTTGAAATGTAAAATATAGCCTCTCAAAGAGATTGCACAGTTTTAAAGGAATGATTTGTTAACCTTGCAATGGTCGTATCTTGATGTTATTGGCCAGACTATGGAGTTTGAGGTTAAGAAGTTGTTTGAAACGGTGAATTCCATCCACGAAGAGATGTTCTATCTCCGTGACAGGTAACTATGAAAAAACATGTTTTCTCTTCAAATCACTTAATCTGAGGAAGAGAATGACTCAAAACCCATCTTCATTTGGTATGTTGCAGGGAAGAAGAAATGCACAATCTGAACATATCGACTCACTCGAAGATGGCATGGTTGAGTTTGGTGTCGCTTGCAGTTTGTTTATCGGTCGCAGGTCTTCAGTTTTGGCACTTGAGGACTTTCTTCCAAAAAAAGAAGCTCATCTAAAAGACAGAGATTGTACTGAAAACCCTAAGACTATAGCTTTATATACGCAACTGATTTCATTTTTGTCGAGCTTCATTTTGTTACTGGATTTTTCGGATACATGTCATTTTACCCTGTCAGATATGATCGTAACATCTCATATTCTCATTAACCTGCCAATCCAATACATGGAACATTTAAATCTTTTATGTCACACTCTTTAATTCGTTTACTGTAAAACAAATGATAATATGAAAAAGAAACAATCTTTACAAAAGATAAGAAACAGAGAATAATAAGCAAACAGAATATCACTTTCTTGTTTCTGGTTGTTTTTGTTTATAAATAATGACTTCGTGTATTATGAAGTGAATAAGCCCCAATGGTGATCTGATGGTAGAGTTTCCTTGATCTTTTCAAGTTTCTTCAGGATGTCCAGAAACGACGGTCTCTGGTTCATGTCCGCCTCCCAGCATTTCACAATTAACCTATTATAAGCAAGAGAACTTGTTAGTTACGTTATCATATAGACTAAAACTAATTCACATGGCCTTGAGTTGTGCTTACTCTCTTAAATCCGGTGTGCATCCTTTGGAACGGAATGTAGGTCTGTGTCCATCTGATACATGTTTGGCAGCTTCATATGGCTCGTGGTTCGCAAACGGTGGCTCTCCTTCAAGCATCTGGAATACAACAATGTGATAACGAAATTAAGGTTAAAATTCTCTGAGCTTTGGTTCTGTTTATTATAGACATATATTGTAGATGTTTTTTTATCGTTAAAGATCGTAGTACCTCGTAAAGTATCATTGCAAAGGAGAAGACATCAACTTTCTTGTCATATCTTCTATGCTTGAATACTTCAGGAGCCATATACCGGTCTGGTTTTGTTGAACGAAGAAGAGAGACAAAAGAGGTGAAGTTAGAGAGATGAAAGAACGAAAAAGGGAGATGGCATCTGCTTTTACTATACAACAACACTTACAGCTGCCTGTTTCACCAGTCATTTTGTAGACATCATGAGAGTTTTGAACCTTTATGAGTTTACTAAGCCCAAAGTCTCCAACTTTCAAGTGGTCTGCACTGGAATTAACCAAAAGAACGTTCCTGAAATATAAAATGCAAGAAGCAGTTTACAAACAGCAAATTTGAAGTTAGAAACTGAGGAGCTATGATTCAGTTTGATTACCTTGGTTTAAGATCTCGGTGAATGATAACATTTGGTTCATTGTGAAGATATGTCATTCCTCTGTAACAACAAATTTTAGAAAACACTCAGGCCGACTATGATGAACAAACTTTCACATGATATCTCGAATGTTAAAACTTCACATACCTCGCGATATCCAACGCAAAGTTGACTGCAGTTGCTGGAGTAAGACCACCCTTTTCCTTAAGGTATTGATGAAGATCCCCCTGTGAAAATTAGATGAATCATTTAGTTAGCCAAGATGAAAATTTGCAGCAATAAAAGACAGTTGATAGCGAAAACTTACCCCACGCAAGTATTCAGTGATTAACATAAGAGGCTTTCTTTCGGTTACAGCTCCTAAGAATTGCACTATGTTAGGATGACGAAGCTTAACTAGCAAATCAACCTCATGCCTGAAGTCCTGACTGCATCACAGTAAATATGGAACTTATGAAGCACAAGAAACTTAGGAAAGAGCAATTGAAATATAAGAGACGGAAATAAGAACTTACATAACCAGTCTATCATCTGAAAGAGATGGAAGAATACGTTTCACAGCTACTGGTGTTCCTCTCCAATAGGCTTTCACAATCTCACCAAAGGAACCCTAACAGAACATGCGACCAATCTCACTACACGAACTCCATCGTATTGAACTAAACACAGAGAATGCTTAATATACCAACCTTTCCAATCATTGCGGCATTTGAGAAATCCAGCTCAGCAGGCTCAATTTCCCAGTCACATTTCTTTGGAATTGGTGGTGGCACAGGCTTTGGTTCAAAGTGACTTCCATTTTGACCCTGCATCAAAAATTCACTCAGCCAGATACAGAGACTAAGATACCCACACAAAGAGGGACGAGTAACTGAAACACTAAAGTGTCTCTTAGAATCTCCGAAATCAAGTATAAAAAAAAAAACAATGCAGTAAGCAGCTACTTCAGAGAGAAGATGAAAGTTCCTCAATTTTAAATTTTTTTTAAAAAACTCGTTCATATTCAATATGAAAACAATCACTACCTACCCTAAAGAATGAAACAAAACGGACAATGTCTAATCTAAGGCTATACATTTACAAGATCACAAGGATGTTCAAAAACTCACATAAGATAAACCGCCATGAGATTTCAGCAGTTCCATCATTTTCTGCTTCCTAGCTCCTTCTGCATCAGCCAGAGGCTTCAAATACCCAAAAACCAAACCAATAAACAAACAAAAAGTTCAGATTCAGAATCATAGCAAAGTTGAGACATTTCAAGGAACCCAAAATCGAAATGGAAAAAAAAGAAAGGAAGAAGGGCCTTATACCGTGTTCTTCCACCTATCCTGGGCGTTGACATCAGCACCAAACTCGAGCAGACATTTAACAACATCAACCCATCCGTGAAGGGAGGCTACGTGGAGAGGCGTCCGTTTGTCATAGTCTCTAGCGTGAACCAAAGACGGATCTTCCTCCAAGAGTTTCCGAACAGCAGCTGCGTCGTTTTGGTGAGCGTGCCACAGAATCAGAGATGTTCTGCTCACACGTGCCTTCTCCTTTTGTTTGTCGTAAGAAGGTGAAGGCACGCTCGTTCCCGCAGCAGCGGCTTGTTCGCCACCGTCTCCAGCCGCCGGTAAATCGGAGCTCATCTCAACCCGATTTTAGATAATTGAGAGGATCGAGTCGATGCGAGAAACAGTGATCTGATCTCTAGGATATTTTTAGATGATTGGATTAAGGTACCGTGTGATTGAGGAATCAATTCTTCACTGTGAAACAACCAGATAGAGAGAGAGAGAGAGGCGATGATTTTTGTTTTCTTTTGTCTCTTGCTTGCTTGTGTGAACGTAGATCATCGCCGTTAACTTAGCCGTCAAGTTGTTGATGACTTTTTCCTCCGTCTATTTTTGTGAGTTTCTAACTCCGTCACTGTTATCTCTGACTTTTCTCTTTTGGTCTTTTAACTCTTTATTATATTAGTGACCGACTAAGGAAAGGAAGGAATAAAAGGGATCATGCTGTTTTTTGTTCTTAGAAAGTCTTTTAATTTTATTTAATAATACTATAATTAGTTTAAATTTGGTTAATTTGAAGGACAATACAAACAAAAGAAGAAGTATTTATACAAATTCTTACAATAATGGTCACCTTGATCTTACCCTTTTGGATCTAAGAAAAAATAAGTAAAGAAAGTTGCTAAAATTTTCCTTTTTTTTTATAACAAAGTGCTAAGTTGATACATTAAAAAAATACTCTATTATGAATCATATAATAACCGTTATGGTCAATTGTATGAAATGGGGAACTAAGTCAACGATCCGGATAACATGGAATCACATCTATCACATGACTTCTATAAATACACACACACGCATATGCCTTTGGCATCTATCTTAACTTTTTAATTGTTAACAAATTTTAGTCACTATTTCTCATGTCAAGAAAATTCAGTATACATTGGTCTTTCTTGTCAACCAACATATTTGCCCAACTAGTAATATTGATCGAGCAACTAATACATGAAGGAAAAAATAATAAAAAGTCCGAACTGTAAACCAGATTTATGCTGATACAACTACTAGAGTACTAGTGTTAGCTTTAAAAGCCTTCAAGTAAAGAGCGCAACTTCAAGAGAGGTATATGGAGCACAAGCGAAACGTATCTTTTATATATATACACACGGTTAATTACAGTTTAATTTATACAAGTATTTTCAAATTATTGTAACGTGGTGATCTAAATTGTTTCACAATCTATTATTTACCATCCTTTAAGTCCTCAAGAGAACGCTTACGGGATCCCAGATTACGCTCCAGCGTCTGAGGCGTGGGTGGTGTTCTTCCTCGGCGGAAGAGCACTGCCAGTGACCTTGTTTTTCGGCAAAGGTCAAAAACCTATTCAAACAAAAAAAAAAGAACAAAGTTGATCACTTGTCAAATGTTTAAGGCGACAAATTTATAGAATGAAATGATATCTTTGTTGCATAATCTTACAGATGAGGCCTCAATCTCAGCGACGCCTTCACACCCTTTTCCTCCACCTTGTAATAGGTCACAGTATTTAACAGCCTCATTCATATCTTCGAAAACCTTTGAGATAAAAATGGTCACATTTTGTTGGTTTCCATAGGGTGTTGGAAGTGATTCATTGAAAATACTTACCAGTACACCATCTCGAATGTCTTCTACGAGCATATCGAATTTAGTTTTGGGTCTAGACTGTTTTGTCTGGTTGCTGATCCTACTAGGAAACAAGAGTCCAAGCTCTTTTTCTACTTCACTGTTATAAACCGATTGCTACTGTTATGCAAGCAATAGGAAAACCAAAACTAATAAACAGAGTGGAAGAGAGTTGGAACCTGTGGTTCGTTCTTGTTTTCATGGTGCAGATCTGGTTTTCTCTCTGTGTTAGTACATATACAGGCTTCGAGTCCCCTCTCCATGGGTTGGACTCCAACACTGAGATTGTTGTCATGACATAGTGACAGAGGGTTAGTCAACGAAATCATTAAAGCTTATACACAGAGCACTAGAGGAACAACATCGATACATAAACTTGAGATGAACATAAACTTTAGACCACACTTATGTTCTCATCCTAGAAGTCTATGTTTTTGATATTCCAATCCATCAGCATTTCTGTGGATGATGAGATGATAAAAACCGTGTTGTTTAATAAGTTATTTGCTTGCAATCTTACTATAAGACTGGAAACTAGGAATGGAAATGAAAAAGAAATGGTATGCAGAGAACAATTAGTTGAATAGCTCTCACTACATCTATCTTAGTTGTGACACAGTGACTAAATTCTAACATTGTTCAACAAAACGTTAAACATAAACATGAATTTCAAACAAGCAGCACATCAACGGAAGTATCAGTCAAGGAAATTTATTCATCATCACCAAATGTCATCGAAGAAAACGCAGAGATTGAGAGAGGTTATACCGTCAT